GGAAATTCTGTGTATTAAAAGTTTGTATCGAGAAAGAATAAACTGGTTTAACCAAGAAAGGACTTGTATCGCTGAAGTTTCTCAGAAAGAATTTATACCGGAAATTAACAAATGAGCAGATACGTAACAATATAGTAAATTTTGCCGTATATAAGACTAGTGTATTATTTCCCAAATTCAAGAAGGTATCATGCAAAGGGACTAAAAAAATATATGAAACAAAAAAATTTAATTTTTCAATTGAAAAGATGTTTATTTTGTATGTGACTGTATTAAAAACTAAGAAACAATGTAGATAACAGTCATGTTTTGAGGAGTTGAAACCTGCTAATCACAAAAATTCTACAAGTCAAGGTGATTCTGTATCATGAAGTATTAGCCTAGACTTTGTGCAACTAAATATTTTATTTGAAGTTTGTATATCTAAAACTATTTGTGATTTTTATGTTCTAGGAAACATATTTTACATGGTAGAGTACCGAGACTTACTGCTAACTCTACTGATGAACTATGATGAGGTCAAACTTCCTAGGTAAGTTTCAGTTTTTGTTTAACCTTTTATTCAGTAAGTTTATCTTTTATTTTATTCTTTTATATTGAACTACTAATTCATGTTATTAGGCCTATCAGAAGTGGACAAATATTTTTACCATGAAGAAACTACCTTGAAATTTGTGAAACAAGTCTTAGAACAGAAACTACAAAGTCTCTTAATTCAGTATTTTTAGTTAGTTGTTCAAAAGGTATCTACTGCCAGATTTGCCTAATTTTGGAAATTCATACTAGTAAAGTTAACTGTGTGATTTTATTATATTAAAATACCACAAGAATAAATCATTCTTATAATGCAGATGCACAAGTAAAATTTTTTTCATGAACAATGACTGTGAAAATATATGTACTTTAAAGTTACATACCTAACTAAGAATGTGGTAAGAACATTTTATATACTGTTTTAGAAGCAGTTACTCATGTAAATAGTTCCATAAACAATATATATGAAAAAATCTGTTGCTGAAAAGAATGTGTTAAGTTAATGATGAAAAATAAATCAATAATTGCTGTAAAATTAGATTATAGCTGTAATTTTTTTTCCTGAAAATTTTGTTATACGAAGATGATTTTTTAAAACTTCTGCCTAACAGCTTACTCTAGGAATTTATTTTGTTTCTGTTATACCACTTTATGATCTACTTTATGAAAAGATTTACTATGTGATGTTGTTGCTCTTGTTATAGATCCTATCTGAAAGACTTAGTGGAAACCACACATGTTTTCTTGAGGATGTTAGAGCATCAATCTCATAACAGCTCTCATCTGATCGTACAAAATAAGAAAAGACGGTCAAGGAAAAACAAGAATAAAAAGAAGGCTAAAAGTATGAAAAGCTAGTTTCCTAATAAAATGCTATTTAGATCAACCTCATTATTTGAAGTAAGATTATTGAAAATGAAAAAACGTATAAAACTTTCTTAGATATTTAAGTGCAGCACCATATTGTTTTACAATGCTGCTGATATTTCCTTTTACTATTCCAGTTAACCTATATTATGCATTAAAGTACATTTAATTAACCCTTCCATTACAGGCTGGGTGAAATCTGCCCAGCTTGTAACCATGAAAGTAATTATACTATGATTTTTGATAATGTAGTTATATGTTTACAAAATTTTCAGGTTATTGGTAAACATTACAAGGCTTTTGTACACAAAATATCAAGTTTTTAAATTAAGTATTAAGATTTTTTAATTAAAGATTTTTTCATAAAATTTTTTCTTTTAGAGTGTTGACTATCCAACATGCAAAGTATTTTTGATTTTAAGATTAAAAATACTTTTATGCATCAGAACATTTTCAGATTTCACATGTGAAATCTTTATAACCTCCAGATAATTATCAAATTTTGTTAGATAAAACATTTATATTTTATCTGTTATTTTTACTACCGTATCTTTGTATTGTTGTTTCAATTTGACCAACTTCGTAACCTCCATTAAAAATTTGGAAGTAAATATAAATTATACTTATTTTGTTTTAGAATGAATATAAATTATAAAATGAAAGCACAAATGTTTAGTCTAAATAGCTTAAATTTCATAACATTATATATTTATTATTTTTGTTATGTTAACCTTTCAGCTGTGCCTGGCTAACATAGAAGTTGCAATGATCAGGTGCATGTGCACTCATGTTACCATATCCAAGAATATAAAACTGGCCTTTACAATTTACCTGTCTTGGCTGTGTTTTAGTGGACTAGTATTTTGTAAAATACAGTCACATTTCAGTTTTAATATATTATATATATACACCTGGAAAAAAGTTAAGCACCCCCGTGTTTTTTCAAGTGATTCAGATTCGACGTTCTTGTGACTGATTATAAATTACCATTCAATCTAAACGT